AGTACTGGAAGTTCTAGCCACAGCAATCAGGCAAGAAAAAGAAATAAAGGGTATTCAAATAGGAAAGGAGGAAGCCAAATTGTCTCTATTTGCAGACGACATGATAGTATACCTAGAAGACCCCATCACCTCAGCCCAAAAACTCCTGAAACTGATAAGCAACTTCAGCAAAGTCTCAGGATATAAAATCAATGTGCAAAAATCACAAGCCTTCCTCTACACCAATAACAGACTTAAAGAAAGCCAAATCAAGAACGAACTGCCATTCACAATTGCTACAAAAAGAATAAAATACCTTGGAATACAACTCACAAGGAACATAAGGGACCTCTTCAAGGAAAACTATAAACCACTGCTCAACGAAATAAGAGAGGATACAAACAGATGGAGAAACATTCCATGTTCATGGTTAGGAAGAATTAATATCATAAAAATGGCTATACTGCCCAAAGTAATTTACAATGCTGTACACATCAAGCTACCATTGACTTTCTTCACAGAACTGGAAAAAACCACCATGAACTTCATATGGAACCAAAAGAGAGCCCTCATAGCCAAGTCAATTCTAAGCAAAAAGAGCACAGCAGGGGGCATCACACTAACGAATTTCAAACTATACTACAAGACTACAGTAATCAAAACAGCATGGTACTGGTACCAAAACAGAGATATAGACCAATGGAACAGAACAGAGGCATCAGAGGCAACACAACATATCTACAACCATACAATCTTTGATAAACCTGACAAAAACAAGCAATGGGGAAAGGATTCCCTGTTCAACAAATGGTGCTGGGAAAACTGGCCAGCCATGTGCAGAAAGCAGAAACTGGACCCCTTCTTGACACCTTACACCAAAATTAACTCCAGATGGATTATAGACTTAAACATAAGACCTGGCACCATAAAAACCCTAGAAGGAAATCTAGGCAAAACCATCCAGGACATAGGAGTAGGCAAGGACTTCATGAACAAAACACCAAAAGCATTGGCAACAAAAGCCAAAATAGACAAATGGGACCTCATGAAACTCCACAGCTTCTGCACAGCAAAAGAAACCGTCACTAGAGTGAATTGGCAACCAACAGAATGGGAAAAAATTTTTGCAGTTTACCCATCTGACAAAGAGCTGATATCCAGAATTTACAAAGAACTCAAACAGATTTACAGGAAAAAAACAAACAAGCCCATTCAAAATTGGGCAAAGGATATGAACAGACACTTTACAAAAGAAGACATATATGAGGCCAACAATCATATGAAAAAATGCTCATCGTCACTGGTCATCAGAGAGATGCAAATCAAAACCACATTGAGAGACCATCTCACGCCAGTTAGAATGGCGATCATTAAAAAATCTGGAGACAACAGATGCTGGAGAGGATGTGGAGAAAAAGGAACACTTTTACACTGTTGGTGGGAGTGTAAATTAGTCCAACCATTGTGGAAGACAGTGTGGCGATTCCTCAAGGCCTTAGAAATAGAAATTCCATTTGACCCAGCAATCCCATTACTGGGTATATATCCAAAGGACTATAAATCGTTCTACTATAAGGACACATGCACATGAATGTTCATTGCAGCACTGTTTACAATAGCAAAGACCTGGAATCAACCCAAATGCCCATCGATGATAGACTGGATTGGGAAAATGTGGCACATATACACCATGGAATATTATGCAGCAATCAGAAATGATGAGTTTGTGTCGTTTGTAGGGACATGGATGAATCTGGAGAACATAATTCTCAGCAAACTGACACAAGAACAGAAAATGAAACACTGCATATTCTCACTCATAGGCGGGTGATGAAAAATGAGAACACATGGACACAGAGAGGGGAGTACTAAACACTGGGGTCGATTGGGGGGAAAAGGGGAGGGCCAGTGGGAGGGGGAGCTGGGGAGGGATAGCCTGGGGAGAAATGCCAAATGTGGGTGAAGGGGAAAAAGCAAACAAAACACACTGCCATGTGTGTACCTATGCAACTGTATTGCATGCTCTGCACATGTACCCCAAAACCTAAAATGCAATAAAAAATAAAAATAAAAAAAAAGAAATTGTGTATTAATGTGCTTGACACATTGCAGGTTCTCACACAATAAAGGTTCCTTTTCCCTTGGCCTCCTAATGCCATTAGTCAGCTCCAAAGCAGGAAAAGATTATTTGCCACCTGAGTTCCAGCATGGCATAAAGGAAGGGTAAGATGTAAGGCAAAAAGACAGAAGAGCAACGTTTCAGGCCACAGCACTGAGATTATTATTCATCGTCTATAATCAAAGTGATAATAGCTCTAAGATGTTTTCAAGGTAGTGATCAAGGTGATTACTGAAGAGGAAGCACAGCACGTTCTACTAGCCTTTAAAATCTCATCTGTTCAAAGAGATCCCATGACCCTCAACTCTGTCACATTCTTCCCCACCTAATAATGAGTCTTCCCCCAGGTGAAACATAGGGTATAATCACCCATACTCATGCAAGGTAGCCAAGGTCCAGTGGGCAGCGCCCTGGGAAAATGTGCTGTACTGTGCCTTATCCAGGGAACAACCTGTTACAGCTAAATTCCTGTGACCATGATTACCATTTTAATGTATTCTCTCACAACCCTCAAAGTACCTTGAGCAGGAGTAAGCATTTTCCCTGTTCTTTAAATTCAGCAACATAGGTTCAAAAATGGGAAATTATTTGTCTGTGGTCCAAGAGTGAATATATGGTGGGATCATGAATGACCTCAGATAAGTCTGACTCTAAAGTTACATGTTTTTTCTGCTATTCTCCTCTGCTGAAGTAACTTGCTTCCATCTGACCACCTTCTTGTATGAGTTCGTGAGTTCTCCCTACAAAGACAACTCCGGGTGTAAGAGGCAATGATGTCCTACCGATTGGGACAAGCCACCCCTCAAAACTCCTCTACTATGTAAGGACATAGATTTGTCTTCTAAAGGAGACAGAAGCCTGTTTCCTGGAGAAGATCTAAAATAAATAAAAATGAGACTTCAGTGCTGTCCAAAGATCTTTCCGGCCTTCGAGAATCCTTCTACTTATTCAACAAGAATTAATATAGAATCTTGTTAGGGGATGGTAGGAGAAAGAGAAGATAAAACTGTTCCTGTTCCTGAATAAAATTTCCAAGTCTAGCAGGGGAGAAGACACAAGCAGATATTCAGAGTGAAGCATGTGACATGATGACTTAAAATTCTGGATAAGTCGTAATAGTGGAGCACAAATGGTGGCAGTAGTTCTATTGTGGGAAGAACAGTGTGGTTATCGAAGTCCTCCCGAAGAAAATAAAGACTTTTTTTCCAGGCAGTTATAAATGGAAACAGAAGAGTATGTGCAAAAACTCAAAGCTAGAAGCAATCCAGTGAGTTCAACCCAAATCACAAAGAGATGTGTGTGGCAGGATAGTAAGGTGCCCTGTGAGAGCGCTTCAGAGGTAAAGCTGAAAATGCAATCCAGGTTTTGAATGCTAAGGTATAAAGGCTGCATTGAAAAGTTGTCCAAGGATGCTATGGGCACAGATGCCAGAGGGGAGTCTACTGATTAGATTTGTGTTTCAGTAAAATAATTCTGGCTATCATAGTCGATGATAGATGGGTGTGTGTGAAAGGAATGCAAAACAATCAATGGGAAGGCTATTGCAATAATCCCAGTAGCAGCTGGGAAGTCATGGCACATGTTGGAGGTGGCAGAATGAACATGGATCTTCATTGAGATCAAGTAAAGAAGGAAAAGGAGTCTGTGATGACATGCATGGACTTGCGTCTACAGTGGAGAAAACCCTTCCACCAATGTTTTCCCCAACTTTTATGTCTCTACACTAAATCCCTAGGAGCTTATGGGGTCAAATGTGAAGCTGACCCCAGAAAACATAAGCTAATCTTATATTTCCAAAATTAGAAAGATGTAGTATGGGAGGGGTCGGGAGAAGGATACTGAGAGAAACAATATCATTTCATAAGGGAGCAAACTGAGATGACAAAGACAAACACAGCAACTACAAGTGTCCAGAGAGTGAAAGCAATTGTATTTCTATTCTCCCTGTCCGACTATCAGGAAAGTGGGCCTGAGGCATGGAGGCACAATTATAATACGCCCGGTCATATTCTCTTATTGGTGCAGGCAGAGCTGGTAAGGGAAACACTCTATTGCTTGGGATGAGTGACTGTCCTAGCATTCAGGTCACACTATAAAGCTCTTGATCTCCCTTTCATTACATTTAAGTTCGAAGCTACGAATGAGGATGTCCAGGGTGAGAAGAAAATTGAGTAACTTCATGGTGCAGTGACAGAATGCTCTCCGTAGTCAATTTAGTCTGTCCCCGTCTTCTAATGCTTAGAAATCAAGTCTTCTATTCTCTAAAGTGAAGTTATAATACCTACATTCTCAGGTAGTTGTAGGAGGTCTAATAAGAAAATAATTATCAAAGCATTATATAGGATGCTTTTGTATTACTATCTACTTCAAAACTACATAGGAAATATAGCCTTCAATCTGTAGAAAATCACATTCACAGTTGGTGTTCAATCCTTTCACATTATAAGCCAATTGTTCTCAGAGTGTGGTCCCTGGACCAGCAGCACTAGCATCACCTGGGAACTTGTGAGCAGTGCAAATTCCCAAGCTTCCTTGCAGAATAGGAAACTAAAAGTGAGCCCTAGAAATCTGTGCTTTAGCCATCTCTCCAGGTGTTTCTGATGGACATGAAGTTTGATAATAATTGCTATGGCAAGCTGTGGGCCGCAAACTGTCTTCAAGGATGACATTGCTACTGCCTATCATTCCTGAGTGGGTGTTTTGGACTAACCCTTACTTGTTCCTGGTCCTATCTTATTTGGATTTCTACCCTAGAATCGCTAGTGCAATAAAATCGTGGTGCTTTTCCAGACATTGTTGAAAGGAGGGAAGGTGGAAAGGGGGCTGTAGAGAGAAAACTGACACCGTGATAAACTTCTTTGCTTTAATGAATCGGGGATCCTAGAGCAGGAGGCAGGCTGGAATGTTCAACTGGCGGCAGAAACACGGGAAGCAGCCGTCCTAGTCACCGGAGTCATCGAAGACATCAAAGTCTTATTCATCATCAAACTTCTTCTTGTTGCTGCTGTTGAACGTCTCGTAGTCTTTTTCTCCACACGGACAGAGGGGTGACCAGAACGTGTTTTACCTGGAACACAGCACACACTTTCTTTGCCGCACGTCACCCAAGCAGGCTTTGCATACACCTCTCCGGGTTTGCACTTCTTCTTGCAAAGTCCAGCTTTGTTTGCACACTTTTTCATAAACCAGTTACCTGCGTAAAGTAATTATATAGATTATTAAGCCTAAATATTTGTCACAGGAGAATAACATAGCAATAGCTTTTGAGAACTGATTATTCAAGTGTCTTTCCAGTTGCTTTGGCATATTTTTCCTAATCGTAAACACCTACTTTGAGGAGTAAGTGAAATTTCATAAATATAGAGACAGAATTCTTTAGATATGTATGAAATTCTCATTTCTGAAATCAGAATTCTGTATACAAATACCAGGGGCCTATTTCCCATCATTTTATATGGGAAAATATATAGCATGTTTTATACATGAATACAAAATCTCCAACCCATTTCCTAAAATGCAGCTAAAACACAAACAACACCTAAATACAGTGAAAACTATTATTTTAAAAATAAGAAATGCTCAAATAATTGATGTCATCTTTCTCACCATTACTGAAACACACATGGCTTTTGTTGCCAATTGGTGAGATTTGCAAAATGTCCTTACATGTTTCAGAGATCCTAAAAAGTATATTTAGAAGGTAACTCTAGGGTTGTCTTATATATTATCTGGTTTAAAATGTCATGTCAAGTTATGGAAAGATAAATATGAAATTTTAATCTATATTATATATATATTATATATTTTAATCATATATGCCTATATGATATTGAGATATAGGTACATTTTATAAGATTTTGGGAATAAAAAAGGCATTCTATTAGGAATATATTCATTAGGGAGACATTCTGCAGGGTTTGCCTATATACGTGTACATATTTTATACATATGAAAATATCTCATCATGTGGTTTAAAGCATAGAGGCCCTAGCGTGGTGTTCGAGCTCTTTCTTACCTTGCTTAACTCATTACTCTATTTAATCAGCAAGTATATAATGAGTGTTTACCATGTCAAGAATTCTGCAAGATGCAGGGAATAAGACAATGAACAGGAAGACACGATTCGATGAACTTACATTGGAGAGAGAGCAAAAGAAAATAAGCAAGTGGATGAAGTAACTCCAGACTGTGGTAAGTACAACAAATGAAAGAAATGACGTGAGGTAACTGACAGCAAGTGGAGACAGCAAACTTCTGAATGCTATTACCACTACTATTAACCATTATCAGCTCTTTAATCCTCCTCTGATGATCAGAGTTTTTAACTACATATATATGTATGTTAGAATAAACACACATACAAAGTGTAAAAAAAAAGACAACATACAAGTATGTGATATATGTCGATGTATGTCATTAGTGTCCCAGAGACAGAAGGAGAAATGACACAATTTAAACTCACAGAATTTCAAGGGTGCAATAGGTCTGAAACCTCTTTTGAGACAACCATGAGAGCATTATAATTTCCTCTTATCCACTATCAATTTGAACATTTCTGCAAATTCTAGGGAACGTAAAGTACTATCTCTAGAGGCAGGCTATGGAGTTATTCTATAACCCTCCACCCATTAGGAAATGACGCTAAAAAATGTTAGTTTGTTTCTTTGTGCCTTATGTAAAAAGCAGGTTTGAGTCCAGTGTAAAAAACAAAATCATAGGTGAATAACTCTTCTTAATATGGAGAAGGACTTTCTAAGTTAATGGAAGAATGCAAAGAAAACACCAACAGATCTGACATCATGAAAATGAAAATTATGTGTCTCCATGCACACGTATGTTCACTGCAGCACTGTTTACAATAACAAAGTCCTGGAACCAACCCAAATGCCCATCAATGATAGACTGGATAAAGAAAATGTGGCACATATACACCATGGAATACAACGCAGCCATAAAAAAGGATGAGTTCATGTCCTTTGCAGGGACATGGATGAATCTGGAAACCATCATTCTCAGCAAAGTGACACAAGAACAGAAAACCAAGCACTGCATGGTCTCACTCATAGGTGGGTGTTTAGCAATAAGAACACATGGACACAGGGAGGGGAGCATCACACACTGGGGTCTGTTGGGGGGTGGGGGCCTCGGTGAGGGATAGTGGGGGCAGGGAGATTGGGGAGGGATAGCATTGAGAAAATACCTAATGTAGGTGACAGGGGGATGAAGGTAGCAAATCACTATGGGATGTGTATGTACACCTATGTAACAATCCTGTAAGATCTGCACATGTACCCCAGAACTTAAAGCATAATAATAAAAAAAGAAAATTATATGCATCAAATAAATAATACATTTTAGAAGCAACCAATATATTTGGAAACATTTGCAAGAAATATGAAATATAAATGTTAAAAATACAAATACACCAATAGTAACCATTGGCAATATGTGCCAGTTAACTTAGAAGAAACAATACCCTTGGACCAAGCAATGGAACTTCTAAAATCTACCTATACAATCAGAGAATCTCACAATGATATATTAATAAGATTGTACAATGTTATTTACAATAGTCACACGTTAGAAAAAATAATCCAAATGACACACAATTAAGGACTCTCCAAGTTAATACTGGTACAAAAATATGACAGAATCATAAGTATCTACGCAAATTGTGTTTTCAATGAATGTTCAAAGACCTGTGAAAATTTTCCTGATACAATCTTAGGTAAAAAAATAAAGTAGGTTATAAACTCATATACCAGTCGGTTGCAAGAGAAAACTAAAAGCAGTGATGAAATGCAGCCCATTTATTTCTAAATTGCTTTCAGTGTTCTTGTCTTGGTTTTGTAAATACAAGCTATAGGGTAAAGTAAAAATAAGAAATGCTTGCACAGACAGAGCTGAAATCTAATATAGACTTCCAAATTTCCCACACAGAATTTTTTTTTCTTTTCCATTTTACAGTCCTGTCGGTATTTAGAAACAGCCTTCCCTATTCTGTTAACCACATCCAAGAACAAACAAAAAATCAGAGACCTTCTCTGTAAGACTAAGAAAACTGAGGGGAGTAATATTACATAATTGTTATCTTGGAAGGAAATATCGATGACAAAAAATAAATAAATAAAATGAAGCAGGGCTTGACTGGACTGACCCAAAGTGCTAGGACGGAAGTTTGGGGTTTCAAGATCATTTCTACCTTTGGAGGCAACTTTACGGGATTTGCCTTACCCTCCTCCCCAGCTCCGATCACAGATCCTGCTCTACCTAAGAGCCTTGAAGTGTCTTAGAACAGAGGTGGTTTGAAGAAGTAGGACAAATCTCAGCCCTGGTCCCAGTGAGAAACCAGACCCCACTTCCACAGACCACTTAGAAATAGGGACTCCTTGTGCAGGACCCTGTTCTAGGACAGTGTTTTTTCTCCCCGAGATTCTATTTACCTGAGACCAATTGGGCCAGGAGCATAAAAACTGCAAGGGTGAACAGTAAGGACTTCATCAGGAGGCAGTGGGTTCTATAGAGTCCAGAAGTCTCTATTCAGTATGTCTCTGAACACAGATTTTTACTGTCCTTCTTAGTTGGGGTTGGGCTCAGCCAGAAAACTGGGAGGATATAGGATAATGTGCCAACATAACTTCAGTCTATTGGCCAGCAACTCTAACTGAGGCATCACTGTTCAGGAGTCCTGTGCTGGGCATGCCTTGGGGGAAGAATAAAGTCTTAGAATAGAAGTTGCAACCCCTACTGAAATGTATGGCAATTTGGAGAGAAAGAATTACAGAAAGAATGTATGCTGCTCTACCACGGCTGGGTACTCATAGCTGTTTTTTTTTTTTCTTTTTCCCCACAGCCTCCTGTGTTAGTTCTATCAGGATTCCTCTTACTGCATGTAGCAGGTTGCTCACCTCTCAGTCTCTCCACCTAAAATACAATGTCTTTCTGAACATTTATGACACATTATTCATATATGTATTACATAAAATCCTTTTCTTTTCTATAATATTCTTTTCAGAGAAGAATATAAGCAATTGTTTTTTAACTGACCAAATTAATACTTTGTTGATGATCTGGAAATTTAGAAAGTCATTTTATAAAGAAATAAATAAGTGCTCAAAGATAAATGCACAAAGAAGTCTTTGGATCTACATCTTAGCTCTTCTATAGAGTAGCATAAAATAAAGTGCATCCATATGATTTAATTCTGTGCTTCTGTTAAAAAGAGTGCAGCAGATTTTATTTTACTAAACATTTTTTGAGTGAAAAATCAACATTTCAGAACAACATGCATAGTAATGATTCTAATTTATGTGAAAAAGTTATGTCTGTGTATATAAGTAAATGCATGAACTAAAAATGCAAGTCACATGTCATTCTAATAAAAGTAGTTTTCTCTGGATGGGATTGAGTTTAACATGGCATCCAAAGAAAATTCTATTTGTTTTAAAGATTTTTTTTTTTTTTTTTGAGTGCCTGACTATACTGTGACTGGAAGCTATAAGGTCCTAGAGGTTTTGTTTTCTGTGAGTTTTTACTTTTTAATTTTGAAATTATTGAGATATAATTGATGTACATTGAACTGCATTATTTAGAGTGTATAATTGATGAAGTTGGCAAATGATGCACCAGCGAAACCATTACCATAATCAGCATAATGTAGATATCCTTCACTCAAAGTGTTTCTCATACCTCTTTGGTATCTACTGTTTCCTCTTCCCTTCTTTCCCCCTACCTCCATGATATCCAGGCAATGACTGACTTACTATTTGTTCTTAGTTTAGCAGGATATAACATTTGTGTTTGACAGCTTTTTTTTTTTCTTGTAGCTTTCTTGACAGTCTCTCGAATATTACATAAATGAAGTAATATAGCATTAATACTTTTCTCTTTGACTTTTTTCATCCAAGGCAATTATTTTGAATCACATATATTTCATGTACCACTAATTCATTCCTTTTTATTGCTTATATTCCTTTTTATGCACATATAGTTTGTTTATCCATTTACCCCTTAATGAACATTATGATTGTTTTCAGATATTAACTGTTACAAATAAAACTGCCATGAGAATTTGTGTGCAACTCTTTGTATAGCCATATGCTTTCATTTCTCTTGGATAAATAGCTTGAAGTAGAATGGCTGAGTCACAGGGTGTGTGTGTTTTACTTATTAAATATGTGTATAGCTGAGTCACAGGGTGTGTGTGTTTTACTTATTAAATATGTGTATACTATGTTTTTTTCTTTGAAAATTGTGCTTTCTCTCTGTTCTAAGAGGTCTCAGTGTTGTCCCTATCAAACCGATAAATAAATGTTCCGTGTAAAACGTGGCTATAATAAACCTTTGTGTTCCATAGTTCCTGTAAATATTTTTCCAAATAGTGGTACATTTTTACACCCCCAGTAGCAATATTTGAGAGTTCACTTTTTTCCCCACATCTTTACCAATATTTAGCATGTTAAATTTTTTGTTTTTGCTTTTTTAAATTTTAGCTATGTATTTTATTTTTTGTTAAATTTTATTTTTTTTATAGATTTAGGAGTGCAAGGGCAGATTTGTTACATGGACACACTGAGTAGCAGTAAAGTCTGAACTTTTAGTATAACCATCATCAGAATAGTGTACATTGTACCAGTTAGGTAATTTCTCATCCCTCTCAGGCCCAGTAGTATTTGTTTTATGAATCTGGGTGCTCTTGTGTTGGGTGCATATGTATTTAGGATGGTTATATCTTCTTGCTGAATTGATTTTTTTTATCATTATGTAATGACCTCCTTTGTTTTATTTTACTGTTGTTGATTTAAAGTTTGCTTTACCTGATATAAGGACAACTACTCCTCTCATTTGGTTTCTGTTTGCGCAGAATGTCTTTTTCCACCTCTTTACCTGAATCTGTGTCTTTACTAATAAAGTGAGTTTCGTGTAAACAGCATATAGTTAGTTCATGTTTTTAAATCTATTCTGCCAATCTGTATCTCTTAAATGGGGACATTTAATCCCTTTTCATTCAAAGTTAATTTTGATCTATGAGGTTTTGTTCCTGTTGCAATGTTAATTTTTTACCTGGTCGCTCTGCAGTCTCAATTCATTGCTTTGTAAATCCTGTGAGTGTTATACTTTTGTGAGTATTTATAATGGTGGGTATTGAACTTTAATTTTGACTTTTAGACCTCCTTGGAGAATTTCTTTTAGGACTGGTCTAGTGATGATGAATTATCTTAGCACCTGCTTGTCAGGAAAGACTTTATTTCTCCATTTATGATGCTTAGTTTCGGAGGATATAACATTTGTGTTTGACGCTTTTTTTTCTTTAAGAAGCCCCACAATTGGACCCAATCTCTTCTGGCTTCTGCTGAGAAGTCCACTGTTATTCTGATGAAATTTCCTTTATAGATGACTATATGCTTTGCTCTTGCTGATTTTAGACTTTTTTCATTCATGTTGACTTTCGATAGTCTGATGACTATATTTCTTAATGAAGTCTGTCTTGCAAATGTATCTTCCTGGCGTTCTTTGAGGCTCTTGTATTTACATGTCTAAATCTCTAGCAAAACTAAAGACGTTTTCCCCAATTACTTCCTCAAACATTTTTCCAAACTCTCACTTTTTCTTTTCCCTCTGAGTACCTGTGACTCATAGGTTTAGTGACTTTACTTATGAGTACTTTACATAATCTTATATAATCCCATGCTTCTTGAAGGCTCTGCTCATTTTTAAAATTCTTTTTTCTTTATTTTTGTCTGACTGGGTTAATTCAAAAGAGATTTGTCTTCAAGTTCTGAAACTCTTTCTACTGCTTAGTTTAGTCTGTTGTTAGAGCTTTCAACTATATTTTGTAATTTCTTAAATGAATTTTTCATTTATGGAAGTTCATTTAGAAAAACCTATTTAGGCTGGGCATAGTGGCTCACAACTGTAATCCCAGCATTTTGGGAGGCCAAGGTGGGCTGATCACTTGAGGTCAGGAGTTTGAAACCAGCCTGGCCAACACGATGAAGTCCTGTCTCTACCAAAAATACAAAAAAGTTATCTGGACATAGTGGCACACATCTGTAGTTCCAGCTTCTCAGTAGGCTGAGGTAGGAGAATCACCTGAACCCCAAAGAGGGAGGTTGCAGAGAGCCGAGATTGCACCACTGCACTCTGGCCTGGGCAACAGAGCAAGACCCAATCTTAAAAATAAATAAATAAATAAATAAACAACAGAAAGAAAACTATTTAAAAAAATCTATCTGTTTAGTAGATTTTTCATTTATATCCTGAATTGTATTTCTGATTTGTACTGATTTTTTACTATCTCTTGGACCTCACTGAGCTTCTTTAAAAATCAATATTTTGAATTCTTTGTTTGGTATGCCAAAGATTTCATTTTGGTTAGGGTTCATTGTGAAAGAGTTAGTGCAATCCTTTGGGGTGTTGTAACACTCTGTTTTTTCATTCTTCCAGAATTATTTCTTGGGCTCCTTCTCATTTGGGTCAACCATCTGTTCTTATTTTTTAATTTACTTTCATTTGGTCAGGACTTTTACCCCCTTGAGGATGCGATTATAATATATATATTGTGTAGGGTCATTTGGCTTTGGTTCTGGGTGCTTTCAGTGGCAAAGACTCTGTGTGAGTTTCTTGATTATAGGTAGCCTTTGTGTGGTGGCTTTCTCAAATGGGTTGTAGTAGTGATTTGCTGGACTAGGCTCACTGCCTCCTACAGAGCCAGAGTGCAGGAGTCTCAGGAAGCTTAACTTGTTTCCCTGTGCTGTGCACTTGTGTTAGCCGATTGTTTATTGGGTTGTGGAGTTAGAGCTCCAGACCAGTAAGTGTTGCTTATGAATAAAATCTGTGCAGAAGCAGGTGGGTATATGCTTGATCTTTGTTTACTGGGAGAAGCTCTATGTTGTCTCAGACAACGGGCAGGTCTATGGAATACACACTGGCCCGAGTTCCCTGCTCAGCCCCTAAGGGGAGGATAAAGCTGAGTGGAGCTGAACTGTCGAACCTGCCTTCAAATAGTTCATTGGCAAGCACAAGCACCAGCCCTTGTGGTAACAGGGAGAATGGTGTGTACTCTATGAATTCCTTGGTTATAAATAGTCTTCATGTGGTGACTGTCTCAAATGCCAGTTGTAGTAGTCATGTACTAGGCATGTGATGAAGCTCACAGTCTCCTGCAGATCTTGAGAAAAGGTCTTAAGAAGCTTATCTGATTCTCAAGCACTGTGCACTCAGGTCAATACATCTTCTATTGGGTTGTGCAGTTTGACCTCCAAGCCAGTAGGTGACACTTGCAGCAAGAGCTGAATATGGTGGTAGCAGGGAGTATATATCTTATCTTTGTTTACTAAGAGAAACACTGTTGTCTCAGGAAATGGTCTGTGTGTGGAATGCATAGTGGCACGGGCTCCATTCTCAGCCCCAAACTGGGGGCAAAGTTGGGCACAGCTGGACAAGGCAGGCCTGCCCTCAGGTTTCCCAATGGCAAGCACAATCATTAGCCCTGATGGGAG